CAGCTCCTCACCTCCTTGTCCCGGGGCCGCTCGGCGCAGCAGAAGCAGCAGCAGGTCAGCAACGCCACCAGCAGGCACGCGACGCCGACGATTGACAGCACGAAAGTGATCTGGTAGCCGTCCCAGAAGGCGCGGAGGCAGACGGAGGGGCCCTGCTGCGCTGCTGTCACGATTTGCTGGGGGTCTGCGTTTGCGCCGGCCATGGCGGCGGCCTGCGCCATGATTTTGTTGGGATCACTGCGAGGCTCGAGTGGGTTAGGGGGAGCAGGGAAAGAGAGTCAGGTTGTTCAAGAAGATGTCAGTTGCGCGGTCTGTGAACTGACTGGCATCGGGTGAACGCATCCAGCCAAAGAGACAGCAGGCAATGGCCACGCAGTCAGTCAGCCATGTGCCTGGGAGCAGCCAACCATGCATTGCCATTCGCGCAATCCTAATCAATCAATCCAGGTGCGTTAATCCCAGCTGAACCTGCAGTTGCCCCCCGCTGCTGTGCTTGTGCCGCTGTGATTTTTGTGCTGCTGTTGCAGCTGCATGTCATCTCTCCTTCCAAAGCACCCCCTCTCACGCTGCGTTCTGGATGCATTTGACCAGCTGGGTGACGCCAGGTATGGTCTTGTACAGGCTGGCCGCCAGGAGGGCTGCGCGAGGGCACATCACATGGAGAGGGCAGGGCGGGTTTGCCAAACCATCCACACCTGGTCCAGGCAGCAGGCATGCCGGCTGCCGCTCTTGCCCGCTGCACCCGCAAAACTCAGCCCACGCTTACATACGGCAGCCACAAGTGCGACGATGAAGGCCGCCCTACGGACGTGTTGAGGGATAGGTGGGGGGTGCTTCAGGGATCAACAGCGACTGCCCCGTCACGGCCGCCAGCCCGCGGGCCGCCCGTGAGCACTGCGCAGCGCCCGCATGCTGCCAATTGGCGCTCAGTAACTTTGCTGGACATAACATAGTCGTCGCTGGCATTAAGCTGCCAGAACGCTGCGCCTGCGCCGCCTCCTATCGCCCGGTCGCTCATCAGCCGCCCGGTGGCGCACAGCTCGTGCTGCGTTTGCGCACGCCTCACCAGCGCAGCTTGGCACAACCGCCGCGCGTGCCCATGTAGCACGCCATTATTACTCTTTACAGACGATGCAATCCAGCCTGCGTCTTTGTCGAGCTTCTCACGGCGCAGAAATGGAGCCGGGTGCCGAATTGGTGTGCTCTGCTGCTGCGCGTGTTGAATATCTTATCGTGTGCGATGATTATGCGAGCTTATGGACTTGCGTCCACACGCAAACCGAATTTGAAAGCACTCTATAGAGAAGGTGCCTAGCTGGTGCCTAGCTGGAGGCAGTGATCTTTTTGGACACCGCTTTCGCGCACTGTGCCATATACTGCCTGCTGACCGCAACCAATTGCATCGCATATATACGTGAATTTGTTTATGGTGTGATTGCAACCATCAGGTACCAGTGATCTGGCGATCGCCTCAGCAGGGGGGGCTGCAAGCGCAGGGGAACATGTCACCAGGTATGCGTCGCATATGTTGGATTTGATCATTACTTGCAGCAGTCTGGCCTACAGCGTGGGGGTCGCAAATCCGCAACTTTTTGGCGCAGCGCGTATCTATCCTCCGAAACGCTCCGTTCCCAGCACGCATCAATGCTCTGATACTCTCACTATCAACTTTGTGATCGCCACGCTCTCAATCGGCAGGCGGCAGCATCGGCGCGATATCGTGGAGGCGAGCACCCGCCGCGGTTGGCCAAAGCTTGCAGCGCCCGCCCATTGTTCAGGGCATCGCCCGGCGCGTCGCCCCGGCCAGCCGATCCACGCCGCATCCGCACGTGCTGTCCCTGGGGCCGCTGCAGCACCGACATCGCCCGACAGCACGCGGGTCGACCGTCGCCCCTGCAGCCGCCACGGGAAACGCCCAGGCAACGCCGCCTGCGCCTTTGGCGGGCGGTGATGGCGGCGCCCCGCACGCGGGGCCGCTGCCCGCGCCGCTGCGGGAGGTGCCGCGGCTGCTGCTGCAGGCATGGCTTGGCCTGGACGAGCCCGGCCAGCTGCGCGTGTCCGAAGTGAGCGGTGTCGGCCACGCTTGCACACCCCGAATGCCATCGCTTTCGTGCATGGTTGGCGCTCTGGATCCACAGTACACGCCACAATTGGGCCTGTCCCCGTCCTTAGTGACCCGCCATGCCACTCCGCTGCCTCCTCGCAAGCCCTCCGCCCCCTTTCTAAATCTTGAAGCTATTCCCACCACCTGCCGCGCCTTGTCCAGTCCGACCACGGCCTCCGCGACACGCCCGGCGCGCGCCTGCTGATCGCCGGCACGCGCTTCGCCGCCGGCGACCGCGAGCACGCCGCGGTCGCGCTGCTGCTGGCCTCGCAGCAGCAGCTGGACGCGGCCGGCGGCAACGCGCCCGCGCCGCCGCCGGACGCGGGCGTGGTGGCGCAGATGGCCGGCACGCGGCTGCACTGGGGCTCGTGCCGCGGCGAGGGGGCGCGGTGGCAGCCGCCGGAGCCGGGGTGGCACACGTGCCCGGCCGACTCAGTTGATGCTGGTGGG